CTTAGAGTAATTAAAAAAAGTTTCGGGAGAAAATTTATATGAAAAGATAAAATATAGATTAGTAAATTACCAAGTTACGGACACAATAATAGTGACAAGTTAATTTATGCAAGCGAATATGTGTTCGGCAAGGGTTCGCCATCTTGCTTGGTATGATGAAAGTTTTGAATTTAATACCCAAATGAATGTAAACTCGAACATGTTTGAGCCGTACCTCAAGGCCCTTGGTTATTTTATTACTATGAATTGTAAGGATTGAGAACAAATGAGTCTGTTAGTTCTGTTAATCACCAACAAAGTGAATTTAGTCGACGTTTAATTGTATATAAACTAGCTGGTGACTACTAAACTAATGTTGATGTTGTCACAACAAATATATCAAATGATTTATCATACAGCTCAAGAATAAAACAAGACTAAGAATTTATTAAAACAATAATAATGCTGAGCACACCCTGTAGTTGAGATACTACGCGAGATTATTATTCACCCTGACCCAACCTTTATACTATATATGATATACTACATAATAGTACTGTATAGTTACGTAAATAGGATGGATAAAGGATAAGAGATAGAATATAAGGTATTGAATAGAAACGATAGATGATAGCTTCTAGCTTCACAGTATTATTCATCATCCTTTCTACCGGTAGTAGCAGGTTCTATAGGTACACTATGTATAGTAGGCGCTAAATCCACAGGAGCAGTATAGTCACGGAATGATCCGGGAATCCCATTACCATATTTGTGTTTAGCTTCAATTTACTATTTCTTTCTGCCGAGCTTAGCTCTCTGTTGAGACAACAAATGCACAAGAATAATCATTTTTTTTTTATCCTTCCTGCAATTTAAATTATTTCCATTCATTCCTTCGTCACAATTTATTCAATTATTCTTTCATATATATATATTGACAATTTTTTTTTTCAAAAAGCCCTTTCAATTTAACCTATTCTTTAATTCCATAAAAATGAATTCGATTGTTTATAAACATAGCACAACATTTACAATGAATTTTTTAGGATGCATTGATATGCAGATACCTTCCGAAAACATGCTAAAAAAAGTTAATAACAGTCACGTTAGATTCCGTGACGACAAACCTTAAGAATTTTTTTCTCCACCTCAATGCAACGACATGTATGTATCATTAAAATTACAGTAAACATTTACATTGGTATATTTAGTAGAGATTTCGCAAATAGTATATTATTTTAAAAATATATAAATAATATAATATTAGTGAGAGCGATCATATTTAAATCTGAATCTAGATCTAGAGTATAATTTGGGATTTAATAAATTTAAAATTATAAAAGCATAAGTTATAAATTATTGCGTGATGACTAAAAATAAGGGAAAAGATTACTCTCAATCAGGTCATTCGTTATCGCGGGTTCGGTGTAATCGTCTACTATTAACTCACCTCAATAGTAATTATTAAACGCAGCATTAATTTTTATCGTTATCATGCAATAATAATCGATACGATCAAAGTTTAAATGTCGTAATGGTAAACGTACCTTCCGGATTTAAACTTATTTTTATAAAATTGAAAGTTATATATAAAATATAAAATATAAAATACATAACAAAAGGATATATAATATTACAAATATGTAATAGAATAGAAAGGGTAAAGAAGCAGCCAAGTATTGGTATCACGTTGCTCTTGACGTCAGCAAGGATTCTCGAGCGAGTAACAATAAGTCTTCTTGTACATTATCCGACAGAGAGACATTTAGACGGTAGAGAGGATCCAACACATTACATATACCATTCGTTCCTTTATCTTCATTTTCTCCATCTATATAATGTCACGGTAGATAATTGTGATAGTAAGTCTTTACTTTTGATCGTTACTTTTGAAAGTTATACTCATCAGTAATATTACTCACTCACAGTTCAGAATCGACACATGAAACTTGACACCTGACACACCTAACACTTTACACCGTTGACTCATCAAATATTTAGATTTGAATAATTTATTTTGGATTTTATTTTCCAGCGATCAGGGTTATTTATATCTATCTCTTTTTTGGCAAGAAACTTTTTGAATTAGCAAGGTAACGATAATAATTTAGATGCGTTCAGTTGGCACAAGTTTCCTCTATAGGGTTGACTTTGACAGTCCTCTTCGGTGGTTGGTATTATGCCAAATGCAGGCTTTGTTAGGGATAAGCACCAATAACTTTTCACCGAGCTTTTATATTTCTCAGTATCTCTGTCTCTCTGTCTTGTTGTTTATTTATGTCTCTGATTATCTAATTACTTGACTATGAAAACAAAATTTGTTTAAAGCAAAGTATCAACAACGTAACTGTCAAATTAATCCTCCCTTAAATCAAACGGCTCTGAAACTAAAACACATTGCAGCGACGTACATCGCATATATATTTGTAAAATCTGTATAAATTCTTAAAAGTGACGGTAAAATTTGTTTGACCCAGAATTTTAAAAATATTAACTTAAACTTATAAAATATTCAAACCTCGTTTTACACTATTTTATATTTCAATCTTATTTCATAAATTTATAAATTTATATTCACAAATCTTTTATCCTAAATAACGTCTATAATTTTCCAGCCTATAATTTTAATTCCAGTTATTTTATTTTTTATTTTTTTTATCAAAAATTTAAACGGATATGATTTATTGACGTGTCGTAGGAATAACATCCCCGATTTAGTAAAAATATTTCTCAGTTATTTATTTTTAACGACAAGATCTGCTGCCAATTTGTCAAGGATCTTGCGATTTAAATAAATAAATAAATAAATAAATAAATAAATAAATAAATGATCGTATATTTTGTGATTTAACGAATTGACAGAGCATCGGTTGATCTGGATTTATGGCCAGTATAACCATATAAACCAGAGCAGGCGTCTTAAATTGTAGCAAGTTGGGCGTTGAATAAAACAATGACCCGAGGATCGTCCAAACAATCGACCGTAAACTTTCTGTAGTAAATATATACAATATTTTTTTCTGATAAATTCTGCAAGTGAATGACAAACGAAAAGTCTATAAATAACCAGTAGCAGTGTTTACCAGTACACCGCCTGTTTTTATATATATTTATTTTTTTTTTTATTTGATCGGACAATAATTTTAGCGCTTACTCACTTGTCTGCCGCAATCGTATACGCTCAAGTCGTTTCGATTTATCGGTATATCGAGTTACTCCTGGTGAGAATAATCAGTAACAGTCGAGGGGTATAAAAAAAAAATAACAAAGCAAGTAAATAAAATTGTACCGTCGACAGCAAGGATTCACGATCTGATGCTGCTGCAGCACCCGTTCAACAATTCTTTCCCAATATATTATCTCTTTATTTATTAATTTTAACTTTTTTGTGATATTTATTGAAAACTACCGAGCGAAAATATAAATAACAACCGTCACTGTTGTCAATACTCTACTTTACAGCGAGACAATTAAATTCAATAATTAATGGTGATGGAAAAAAAAATAAAAAAGTCGGCCATTTTTCGCATCTGCTATTTTTAGTAATTTATTGCTTTAATTACTACCGAGTCAATTATTAGTAAAATTAACATGAACATAATAGTGTAAATTATGAAGCAACATAGTGAATGACTGTACAGACTGTTTATCAAAGAGACAATAGCTTAGGAGAGTATATACCGAGTATTGGGAACTCTCTGCGATATTTATTACCGTAACATTAGACAAATGGATAAATTACATTAGGTTGTACCCACTTGTGTAAATACATACAGTGAATGCCAAATAAATCATTTAGTTACGTTACTCTTTCACTGTGAAGAAAATAAATTTTATTTTAATTTATTATAAATTTTTGAGAATGTTAATCCTTATATATGTTTTAAACATATACTTTATTATTTACTCAAGGAGATAAAACTAGTTTTAGTCAGACGTCGAGTATGATTATTTAAATTATTACTGTCAATGGGGATATTTAACAATGATATAGAGGTTTATAGCGCCATTAAGCAATAATAACAATAATTTGTCGAGCGTATGTGTCCGCGCCCACCTGTCATTCGTTTGAACAGCCCGCGAGATTTAATCGTGAAAGGTATGTATGGTATTAATTACGATAATGCAAAAGGTGCAGTCGGTTGTGGGAGTTGAGCGTGATAGCGCCGGATATCGATCCAAATTACACCACCGCTATACATTCATCACCAATTCATGGATTCATGAATTCATATTCATTGGGTCCCTTTTTTTCTTTTATAAAAACTAATCCATTCATAAAGGGTACTTGATAATTTTAAAAACCAGTCACGAGCCAACAATAAACTTAATAAACTTAATAATAATAATAATAATAATAATAATAAATAAATAGTTTAAAATTACAAGACTGGGGAATTAATTAACAGGTTTAGTGTCGCCTGATAAATTTATTGCCCTAGTGGTAGACAGCCCGTGATAATTGCTCGTAATTTAATGTTCCGGATCCGATATTTCCGAAGCACTATTCCCAGTAATGGCTTCCCTATGTACCGAGTAAGATTGCTGGTTTAGTACAGGCAGACCGGTATTATTGATTTTTCAACAATTAGCCCGCACGCTCTTTTATAAAAATCCTTTCCATTTAATTTTTATTATTTTTATTTAGACACCAATGAAGAATTAACGGGTGTAAAAATAAAACTAAAAAATGTCAACTAAGCAACTCGATATCTTTATCGTAAATCCTTCAGCTTAATCTGGTGGGCCACCACTACCGAGGAGAGTTTCTAAAATAAAATACATATAAAAGGTTTTGTAGCTAGTGGTCGACAGTCAGTAGTGAGTACTTCTAGGTACCCCGTCGTGTCGATATCGTACAAAAAGTAAACGTTTATGTCAAGTTAGTCTCCTCAGGTGGTCTTGCTTTTTGGCACGCCAACCTCGAGCATATCCAACTAAAGTACAAGTAACCTCTTAACTATAATAATATCGATGTTTACCATCAAGGACTTTAATAATTAAACATGTGACATTGGTTTTTTTTCTTAAATAATTATTTAAGGCGAAGAAGGTGATGGCCCGTACCGCGCGCTCGCGACGAAAGATGGCAAACACAACAGATACGGGGCACACAGTAACTGGAAGCAGTCTTCTCTCAACGTCAAACTCAACATCTTTTATTGATGGCTCGAATACAACGTACCCGACAGCCCCGTACTCCAGTGAAAGCTACAGCAGCTTCAACTACACCAGTTTGGCGAACAGTTTCGGCGTAGGAGGCGTAGGAGGTGTAGGAGGGTACGCTCTCGATGACCTTAACTATACAGAGCTTTGGATTGACGTTTGGAATAATACCGAAGCCACTAATGTCACCCAGAGACTCAATTCAACGGTACTACCTCCTCTTGGTGGTTACTGCAACGAGTGGGAATCTGCACAACACAAGCTCTTTCAGGTATAACATATATCTATCCTAGTCGTAATTAACCAAATTTCTGCTCAAACCCAAACTGCAACCCATCTTAGTTTATATCTTTGGGCAATGCAAATGCCGTTGTCGTCTTTATCGTCCAGCACACACAACATGACCAGCTCCTTGTCGTCATCTTGTAGTCCTCATGTCCTTCTAATTGTAAATGTACATAACCAGCATGCAAATTCGGCTCTGAGTTGTCCACCGCACTATTGCACTCTGCTACTGCTACTGCTGCTGGTCATTTCCTCTGTGGTGGTAACACACCCTATAAACTTTACTTTCTGGTTAACCGCTTTATTTGCTTTATTCACTTTATTCGCTTTATTTCCTAATTTACCGTCATGCAGATCAAATTATAAATTTAAAACTAAACTAGAACAATTATTTAAATAATTAAAAATGGATTTAGGCTGCTAATTTATTTTTCGCTGCGGCATTTATCGTCCCACGGTCATTCAAAGCATCTGTATTCGCACTGCGTACATTTCTGACGGCTGGATTCATGTTAGCGGCACTCTGGGCGGGAATGACAATTTGTGCTCTGGACGCGATGCTCTGGTCGCTGGCTCTGGGATTGTTAAACGGCGTTCACTCTTTGATACTTGCCTGTCGGTTCTTACCACCGGCGTTAAGCCCGGAGCTCGCTGAGCTCTACCTCAAGCTCTTCAAGCCTTATCGCGTCAGTAAAAAACACTTCCAAGAGCTCGCCAAGGAGGCAAGAATACTCAAGCTTGATCCAGGTCAGACTTATGCGACTGAGGGCATCTCGCCGGCTGACGAAAGGCTGTCTATTCTTCTGCGTGGCAAGTAAGTCCCTGCACGGAAAAAAGTAAACTGTAAAATTCACTCGGATTCCGATTAATTTTTATAATTTCAAACAGTACAGCGGACATCGGGGTGGCAAAAATATAAATATTACAGAACTTAATGTAGAAAGTGTAAAAGCCACAATTTATAATTTAAAATCGAAAACAAGTGATTAGTAACTGTAACTATAGTAAATAACAACTTTCTCATCTTAAAAAATTATTAAAAAATTACAGTTTCAATCAGTAAAAATTGCCATTTTAATATAAAGTCCATACTATGAGGAGAAGGGGAACTCAGATGAGGAGAAGGGGGTCTCACTCTGGGAGAAGTTAACATTTGAAACAGTAAAAATTATACTTTTAAAATATACATTTTACTAGTCCAAGCAGGTCAATAATTATAGTTTGATTTTTAGCGTTGCATTTAAAATTTACCATTTTACTTTGTAAATATTGACGTTGCTTGTATTAGAAATTTAGTAACTTTATTTTATACTTTTTACATATCATACGATCATTTTTTAAGGACGAAATGATAAATATCAAAGTCAATAGTATATTACACCCTTGGGAAAGAAAATAAGAAAAGCCCAATCAGATCACTTGTAATTGTTGGCCGAGGCGAAGCCGAGGTCAACAAACATGTGATCTGAGGTTTTCTTTTTTACTTCTTAAGGTAGTTCGGCCCTTTAAGCAAAAATTCAACAAATCTCCCAAACTCTGTATAGAAGTATATAGTTAAATACATAATACACACGCTGTTAAAATTTAAAGACGATTTACCACGTCTAACCGAAGATAATTGCAATTAAAAATGACATTTTTACACAGGCGGTATGGGAAAAGAGAGAGAAAACCGCGAGTTTTATTATTTTTGTATTGAAATAAAGTCATGCGTGGAAGTGAGTGAGCAATAGCCCGTAAAAGAAGCAACACTAGCGCGTGACGAAGACAGCAGTAGCATAAACTATAGGTTGGGAAAGAACTACCTTAAGAGCTGTATACTATTTTTTTGTCCGACGAAGGCGGAAAGCGGCAACTTTGTTTAGCGCAGCGGGACGAAAGTTTCCACTTTCCGCCCGGATGGCGAAAAAATTCTTAATTATTATACTTTAACATTTTCGACATTCACATAGAATATTACTGTTTGAAATAGTATTTTCTTCCATTTAAAAAATAAATTGTAGCGTTTAAATGATAAATATTATAAAGTGAATAGTAAAATCACGATTTTAAAATTAATTACTGTTTGAAATGATAATTTTTAGCAGTTGATCATTACTTATTATAAATTGACTATTATTTATTACAGTTTACTTTTTTCCGTGTCTAAAATAAAAAATAAAAACTGCATTTATTTATTATTATTATTATTAAACTATATTTTATTATTTTACAGATTGAATGTGACGTGCGAGGGTACTCACCTGCATTACGTAAATTCTTATCAATTCGTAGATTCGCCGGAATGGGAAGCGACACATGAAAACATAAACGACGTATTTCAAGTGACGATAAGAGCCGAAGAGTCGAGCACATACATTTGCTGGACAAGACTGAAACTACTACGTGTTCTTAGGCATCGACCACTGCTTAAAATAGTCCTCAATACACTTATCGGGAAGGACATTACCTCAAAACTTTACGCGTTAAACGAACAATTGGCTGGAATAGTGACGATACCCGAAAGCACCAATAGCCCGAATCCTTATCGTGGAATGGCTCGGAGCTTGAGCGTCGATGCGGTTAATACCGAGACTGCCGGGAGAGTCAGATCAACCACATGGAAATCTCAACGGAGACATAGTAATCCACGTAATTAGATAAAATTTTTTTTTATTGTTTGTTTAAAGCTTGTTGTTGTATTTAATTTTCTTCCCAAATGCTAATTTATTTTCATTATGTTTATTGTAAAAACAGGGAGCTCTCCCCAGCGTGTATCGAATCAGTACTGGACGCCGGTTGTTGCTAATCATTTCACACCCTCGTCTCCGTTCATCTCAATGCAGCAGAACAACGTTGGTTACTCGTTAATTCCACAAAGTGTTACATTTTCACCTCCACCACCGACACGGCCACCAGCCGCGACGCATCCACCCCTTCTGAGACAACGCAGCGCTGGTGGACCCGGTGGTGATTACACGCTGCTACCACAAACGCCAAAACTCGAACGCAAACGATCAAAAAAAGCTACCAGAGAGGTAAATATTTGAATATTTCTTAAATTCAAATTTAAAACAGATAGTTGTCTAGTCTGACGGCCAAAAAGAACAAATATACCTTTTTTTAAATCCTAGAGTTTTCATATATATATCTAACTCTAGAGTATTCTTTTGTTGAAGCTTTTTTTTTTTTTTTTTTTCGTTTTTTATCTTTTACTTGCTCAGCACAATAAAAGTTTTCTACTTGGATTTAAATATATAGTAGCTAGTCTAGAGCTCTCAGCTGGTTAATATACGAGTGCATAAATTTCAAGAAAGTAAAATAAATGTTGAATAAAATAATTGTAATTCTGTTGAACAGGTAACCTTTGAGACACCTGTATGACGTTCGCTTGACGGGGAGGGTCCAGCGAGTGTGCCGCTTCTTTCGTTTTCACCGAAACGCTCCGCAACCTAGCCCCGTCGGCATCAAGACTCTAAAAGTCGTAAAACTACTACTACTATTACTATTACTATCACTAAAATATTATTATTATTAATAATAATAATAATAATATTTAGGCAATTTGGCCTAATTAAAAAAATAAATGAGAAAGTGATCTTCCATATTATTATATATGAAATTAATAAGTGATTTTAAAAACAAAGTAAAATAATAAGTTGTAAGTTTAGTTACTTATTGAAAGTATATTTTTTAGTTGCCGAGGTTTTTAGTATTTTAGTTAGTACAGCAGGATAACAGAATAACGGCGCATTCGCGGCATAAGGGCAGCCAAAAACGTCAAACTTTGGCAACTATCGATCGCGTATGCCATTGAGAACTTCAGGATGAAGATGAATGTTCAAGTTATGGCCAAAAAAAAGCCCAACTCATAACTTATATACTGCGATCAGAAAAGTTTACGAGTTTTATAGGAATAATAACAAAGTATATATAAATATATTAATTCATTTTAATTATTATTATTATTAATCAACACTATTTGTGTTGTTGTTATTTAGAATTTTTATTCGATTGTATTTTAGCATAACAACAATTTTTAGATTTACAATATTATTTGTTTGTTTTTAAATATATACGGTATAAATTTTTGACAAATATCCGTTTTGTTTTGTTATTTTATAATACTATTAATTATTAAAATAAAATGGATATTTACAATTATACCATGTTGATCTTCTATTGATATTGATATAATAATAAATAATAATTTTTGAATAAAAAAAATTTGTATAATATATATTTAAAGATAAAAAAATAATTGATAAAGTTGTTGTTCTGCTATTTTTATTACATTGACTGTGATTATAACGAGATATAATTGTTAAGACTTGAATGAATTAAAAAAAATTTTTAAAATGAAAAAAAAAAATAAAATAAATAATCATTGGTAAACGCTATATTTATATCTCATTAAACAAAACTAAATGATCGAGATAATATAAAACTTTTTTCTCGTACAAGTATTTACTGTAAATTTTAAAAAACTAAAGTCCAATTATTTCTTTATCTACGACTTGAATTTGCTCGAATTTACATTATTATTATTATTGTTATATTATGATTTTATCAAAAAATATAAAAAAAAAAATATATAAAATTATATTTATGTTTATTTGTCTTTTTTATATTTTAATCTTTATTCTGCATTGACAATGAAAAATAATTAAAAAATAAAACAAAACAAAGTAAATGAAATCGCGAAGACAAAAAAATAAAATATTTAAAAAGTAAGACGAAAACCGATTCCGCTTTTGCCTAGATTTTGCTCAAAGTACATTAAACAAAAGTAATTAAATAAATAAAATAAAATAAAATAAAAATAATTGTACGAATCGAATCACATATCTATAGCTCTAGGATGCTCTGATTTTATTTGACGTCATTTTATATGCCTCGTAACTTAACGAAAAAATATAAATAAATAATCTTAAAGATAATGAAGTAAAAATAATAATAATTATTATTCACGTTGTAATAGAAGAAATAATTTATTTGGATTATTTCGCCGAAAAATATGAATAAATAATATTGAGACACACAACAGCCGTACTTTTATTATCTGTTGATAAGTCAAATTCACTCTCGTTAGTACATAGGATATGTCTATTCATGCGTAAAAAAGTCCTGATAAATCTACGCTGCGTGAATATAAGGGCCTTAAATGCACGCTGCGTGAATGTACAGGCTCTTATATTCACGCTGCGTGGATTTATCAGGATTTTTTTAAGTGTGAATAGACACTTCTTAGTACATAATACTAATAATAATAATAATAATAATAATAATAATAATAATATATAAATAAATCAAGTGCAAATTTAAATCATAAGACATCCATGAGTGCTTGATAAAATGATAAATAATGTGATATACATTTTATCGAATAAAAATAATTGACAGATTACAATCCATCTAATCTTTTTACCACCAAAATAAATTAATTAAAATAATATTAATAAGCGTTATTAACGATTAAACAAAAAAATGGACTATTTAATTTAAATTTAAACGCAATAAGTGCTTCGATAACTGATTTATTAAGTCGAATAATTAATAGCTGATAAATAATAATTAATAATTAAAAATTAAAAGTTGCAATAAAGTGCTTGGTGAATAATTATTAAGAGTAATTAATACTAAAACACGGAAAATTGTAGTATACATATTATCCATATAAATATAAATAATAAATCGTAAAAAAAAAAAAAAATAATAACGACGAGCGAATAAATAATAATATTTAATGATAAGTGGGTGAATAATTGTTAAGTGTAAATGACTAGCAAAAATAATAATAAAATAAAAAAGTGTGCTGTATGTTTCTATGTTTTATATATCAGACGATGAGTGAGAGAAAAGAAGTAGAAGCATAGAATTTAAAGGGATGATTGCGGTATTACTATTCAAAAAAAAAAAAAAAAATAAAATAAAAAAAAATTATACTGTTACAGAGCATGTTCCTAAATATATTTTACGCTATAAATTATATACATATACGTACATATGTGTACATACGTGCTTATATTAAAGTAATAATAATAATAAAGAGAGAATATAAAGTAATAAAATAATAATTTGATCTCTAAGTAAATATATATTTATTTAATTATAATTTTAATTTAAACATATTGAATTGACATTCCTTGGATAGTGTATGTACCAGTAGAGAGTAAAAGGAAATCTATTGAATTTGGTAGTAGAGTTACGTTGAGTATATCTGTAGAAGTATCGATATTGGCAAGCTAAGGCGGGCAGTTAGCCAACCGAGCTGTAGTATTGGAAAACCCGTAGAGACAAAGAGAAAAATAAGATTAAAAAAATGACTAAACTGGATATGTGTTGTCGTCAGCAGCAGTACCACTACCGATATCAGTCTAATGGTATAACAGTGTATATATATGCGGGGATCCTCTCAACAAAAAGATAAATTAGTATTCGGCAGTCTGTATGGATACGCCCGCATTATAAAACTTATATTCTAGTGGCTTTGATTTATTTACGTCTCACTGAATCCACTATTGGGATTTTCATTTATTTTTTGCTGGCTATCGGTATCTGTATCGGAATTAAATAGATATTCTCTTCTGTTCGATGCACCGTTATACTCAAAAATCAACACGGATTCTATCTCTATAATACTCATCTATGTTTATTTTTTATTATAATAACACCTTCAAGTATTTTATCATCATTATTATTATTTTTATTATCGTTAAAAATGATGTCAAGTGATTTGACAGGCTGATTTTATTTAAATAATTTAATAAATTTAAAATGTAGGGAACTGATACGGCAACATCTGTCTTTAAATAAATCCGTGCTCTGAAAATTCTTATTCTATTTCTCTCTTTATTTTTATTGTACGGTATTGCGAGAAAGAACAAAAAAATGAAATAAATAAAAACAATAAGAGCGAAGAATAACATGTCGGTGAATTGAAACGTGACGCGACGTGAGTGTGAGTCTGTATTTTGTCAGTACATTGTTCACTCGGTACTGAACTAACGATCGAAAAAATAGTAATTAGAAATAAACAAACTACTGTCAGAATGCATCGAGTGTTTGAGGTTGTTACTGTGACGAGTGACGAGTGTCGAGTGTCGAGTAATTTGAGAATTTTAAAATAATTAACGAATAAAATAAATAAATAAAAAATTTTACCTGTGTAATTACAATAACAACTATTATTATTATTATAGTTATAAGTATTTATTACCATTACATTGTATATTATGTTAGAAATAAAACGAAGGAAAAAGTCTTAAATTAATTAATATAAATGACATCAGAATATAATAATAAATAAAAGTGTGAGCTGGCAGGAGTTGGGCGGAAAGTCGAAAGTGGAAAGGACGAAATGGCGGGAAACGGGAAACTAAAACGGGTGAGTGGATCGATGACGAAGAAGCCGAAGTAAAACGTAACTGTTCGTTGCCAAACCCTAGATATATACTATACGCTTCGTTGTTAACCTTTGCCATTTTTTTTTATTTTTTTTATTATTATTATTATTATTATTTTCACAACACACGTTTCTTTTTATCTTTCAGCGACTCTAGTTGACAATAAATATTAATACAAACGCGCTCAAAAATATAGAGCAATATTTATTTTAAAAATAATTTATATGACTACAACTATAACTTACATATCGTGATGATAAAAAAGTACGCCGACATGTACATGAGTAACGATGCATTAAATGAAATTGCAAGTACCACCGACGGCATGTTGAATTTACATCAAAAGTCACTTTACTCGGGTGCTGGCTCTCAAGTCGGAAATTACAAAATTGCTGAATAAAGAGTTGATCCACTATATATACATTATACCTTTCCAACATTCCAACTCAACACGAAAACTAAAACTAAAGTTTCTGACGCTTATACTCTTTGACTAAACTCATTAACTCACGTTATTTTTATTCAATAATTACTTCCATTATTTCCATTAATTGACTGTTTGTTAGTGTCAAAATTATCGCTCCGAGATAGTTTTATTTTTAGACGTTTTTTCCCTTCCTTTAATACCTAAAAATATAAAAATACCCCATAAAAAATAAAATGTAATTAATTAATACTTTAATTTTTAGTGAGAAATTAGGAGTACAATTTCTTGTGGACTATTTTTTATTTTATCGCCAACGTTACGTCAGTAATTCCTGAATTATTCAGGGTTCGAAATTCAAAATTACTCCGCAATTGTCATAAATAAAAATCTTAAAATGACCCAACTGGCAGAACAATACATCCAGAATACAATTTTATACTGATAAATAAAAAATTACTCGAGAGTAATGTGTGTATGTTTACTAGGGTGGCGCAAAAAAACCGACTATTTTTTTTTTGAGTCTCGAGTGAAAAAATGTTAGTTTTTGATGTTTTGAGAGCCCTCACCAAAGGACAGCTCAAAAAAAAAACATTTTTAAGAGGTCACTCCAAATTTTTCAAAATTTCAAAAATCGTCAAAAATCAAATTTTTTTTTCTCGTTACGGTATAATTTTATAGACTAAAAAAAAATAAGTTTCTGAAAATTTCAGTTCAAAATTCGAATTTTGAAAGGTCGCTTATAATTTTTTTCAATTTATTAGTGCATTAGTTTAGATTTTTTCGAGCGACCTTTTACTATTCAAATTAAAATTCCATGCATTTTTTTTTTTTTTTTTATTCAGTACAATAATCGATAAGAATACATTACGAGATGAACTAAAAATTAAGCACAACATAGAAAATATAAATTTTTTTTAATTTAATAATTTTATTTAATCACCTGCCAAGCGTGAGTTCGAATCCCAAGCTGGTCTTAGAAACCAGCTTGGTTGAGATTTGACCTTGCCACGTAGGTTAAGATTTTTTCAAACCAAAAAGACCCCATCGTACCACTCCCAACACTTAAAGTCGGCGATATGACTAATTAACGAAAAATAAAAAAAATTATGAGCGACCTTTCAAAATTTAAATTTTGAACTGAAACTTTCAGAAACTTATTTTTTTTTTGGTCTATAAAATTTTACCATAACGAGAAAAAAAATTAAAAAAAAAAATTCGATTTTTGACGATTTTTGAAATTTTGAAAAATTTAGAGTGACCTCTTAAAAATTTTTTTTTGAGCTGTCTTTTGGTGAGGGCTCTTAAAACATCAAAAACTAACATTTTTTCACTCGAGACTCAAAAAAAAAAAATAGTCGGTTTTTTTGCGCCACCCTAATGTTTACAATAAGGTTTTTACAAAGTAATTTTTTATTTATCAGTATAAAATTGTATTCTGGATGTATTGTTCTGCCAGTTGGGTCATTTTAAGATTTGTATTTGAAAATTGTGGAGTAATTTTGAATTTTGAGCTCTAAAGAAGTCAGGAATTACTGACGAAACGTTGGCGATGATATAAAAAATAGTCCACAAGAAATTCTAGTCCTTACTTCCCACTAAGAATTAAAGTATCAATAAGACAAAGACATATACATCATGGGTAATTAATTAATAAGATCAATTACCTGAACTCTAAGTTGGCGATCATCAGCGTCATCATCGCCGTAGTCATCTAAAGTGTAATCATCATCATCATAATTTTGAAAATCGCCCTTAAATCTTCTGTGGTAATTTTCCACATACTCGATAGGTAATTCAAATTCAATAGTGAACGGTTCTCTGTTTCTATCTAAGTACCGGGATCTTGGAGGTCGCCTGTAAAATAAAAAATAACACTAAATAAATGACCGAGGTGTTGAATATGGATTAAGAAATTATATTGAGGGATCTGGTCTGGTACCGATTGTTACTCTTGATTACCCGGCGTGGCATTGGCAGATAGGTAGTTGAGAAGGTGCCGATTGCGATAAAGGATAAGGAGACTCTATAATTACTAGAGGTAAACCCTGTCGCCTTCTCGTCTACCCGGATAGGGATGGGGTTCAGAATAGACCTTAAATTCAGGGTTATCTAAAAGTAGGGCGTGTCCATCAGACTGTGATATAGTGATATGGAATATTAGATTACAAAACAATTTGATTATTCGAAGATATCACCAGGTACAAGTGCTTCATTTTATCGGGAGCCATAAATTAAAAACTATTCTCGAAATTCATTTTTATCACTTATTACTTATTACTTATTACCTGGATAGTAGTACATTAAAATTACATACTGGTAAGTACTCATTAACATGAACACATATGGGGAGGTATTTACCATTTGCCGCTTCCACTCGAGCATAATTTTCAGGCGTTAACCAACTTTATGGATGATCAAAGTCCCAACTAACTTTGTTACTTAAACAAACGGGTCTACCGATGGGTTAAATCTTGAAACTTATAATGTAATACAGTATACCATCAGACCATCAGGCTGTCCCATCTCGTCTCTTATAATTTTATACATTTCTTTTGAAATCGTTATTTATCTAAATTAGACAACTTTCGCACTTTCTAACATCCTTTTTTCGAATTTTAAATTTATATTTCCGATAGTGAAATGCTTATGCTAATTTTACGGCTAAATTTCTCGATAAATAGGTCAAATATTATTATTAGTTTTTTTTTTTTTTTTCACAAAAGTATTTCATTTAATGTTTAAAAATGATCAATAGAGATTACCGTTGAGGTGGATAATGAAATTCCGATGGCCTTTTATTGACTGGCCGCTTATGAGGATGGGAAAATCTTTGCCATTGTGGTCGCTGGTATACCCAAGGTTTTCGCCGATAGTGTTTTAAAGACCTCACAGGTTTGTACGCAACTGATGAGTTTATTACCACTAAAATAGTTATCACTGCAAGAAAAAATAAAAACTAAAACAAAAAACCACTGATTTAATACTTTAATATATTATTATTAATAATTTTATATTGATTAAATTTACGTACAAATTTCTTCATCCTCTTGTAAAAATAATTGTCTAACTCATGATACAACTGCAAAAAGTAACACTAAGTGAAGATGGTCCAAGTTGGTTGTTTAAAAGACCAATAGAATTTAATAGTAAACAGAGTAGTGTCTTGGTTTTATACTTCCCCCTTTCATCATTCATTCACTACTAAATACTATCTAGTTTGTAGATGCTGCTTACAGTCACTAGAGAGTTTTATCTCCCAGAATATTAATTTTTGACTAGAAATACTTTTACCGATAAATAAAAATATTGAAAAAAAAAAAAAAAAATTACTCCTGTAAAAAAAACAGCAACAAAGACGAAAATATATAATTACCAAGGTAAACAATCGCTGCGCTGAGAGAAAGCGAATTTACTTTAATGTTGGTCTGTTTTTTACTACTCGAGTTTAATGGGAGTAACTAAAGTCTGGAGGAGTCTAGCGAAAGTCAAGGTGAATGTTAAATATTATTTTCGTAATGTTTGTTTGAATTCCAGAACACTGGAAGTATTTAAACAGTTGTTATAAATAAATATTTAAAATCATCCAAATATTGATATGATTTTTATTATAATTTTCAATATAACAATTAATTAACTGGCGTATTTAATTTATCCTACATAGTACTAGTTGTAATGAATTTATTGCATTTATTATTACTTAAAAAATAATATTAATTGTACGGAATGACTAGATTATAATCGATAACTCTTTTAAAAAGCAATCAACAGTTATAAATAATAAAATATATAAATAACGGAAGCTGTCAGATATATATATAAAGTTATTATAATATCAATTTTAGAAAATTTAAGTTATTTACTTAAATACTTTCATCATTAATCATTACAATAATTATGTTGCAAGTTGATTGAGCTCGATGCAATCGGTTGGTTTTATTTCGAGCCACCAATTATTTGGATAGTGATATTTTTGTAGCTCGATGCCCTCTCTTGGCACAGGAATAAGTCTCCCGCCGAACTGTTTTGCCGGCAAAGGTGGTATTACCAATTGCGGTGGAAAGCATTGGAGACTCGGTGATAATTCACAGTCTGGCGGTAATACTCTTCTTGTCCAGCCTACTCTTCTCATCATTTGGGTCTTGTACCGATAAAATACAAATATCAATTATAAAATTATTAAATTATGAAATAAATAAAATTTTTAATTTGACAATACTTACGACAGTATCCTGTTCAAAGACAATTATTTCAACCCTAGCAGAAGCTTCTCCAACCTCATGCTCCTGAACTCGATAAAGACCAGAGGTGTACATATAAGTAGCACTTAGTCCAGCATCGCGGAAGGCTTTTGTGATCAGTACATCATCTCGCATCGTATCAACCATGCAAAGTTCTATTTTACGAGCCCAAGGCAAAGCTCGTCCTATTCTCACTTGACCCCACAGAGCTCCAAAGCAAAGAAAATTAACGATCCCAAGTTTCGCCAACACCAGGTGAACTCTGTTAAACACAATTATCAATCAATTTTTGTTTATATTATTAGTATGAAAAGTAATTGAACTTACCTGTAGACCAACTCGTGTAATCTCTCGGTAAATTCTTCAGGAACGCTGCATGGAGGCGGTGGCAAGCTTTCTCGACCGAGATTATACCAAAAAAGCGCACTGATCACCAGGAAAGCACACAAAGCTCGGAGAGGTGTCACGCGAAAATACCTGCGTGAGGACCATGGATTCATTTTGATAATCTAAACACAAATTATAATTTATTGACCCTTGTAAATTCCTTAAATTTAATTTAATTTAATAAAATGTGTGCAAAAGCAAGTATTAGCAATTAATAATTAAACTTACCGTTGTAGAAGATCCTCATGACCCAAAATTATTATTAGGCAGGAAAACCGTCTATCTGATAGCAACTATTTTCATATTAATTTGATTTGATGTATTATTGTGATTCGACTGCTCGATTAATTGAAACAATCTGTAGAATTGGCAACGCTGTTTTCTACGTCTAATCGATTTCTTTTATTTATACGTATGAGGGTTGAATTTTATCAACTATCAGATTACAGTTTTTAAGGTTTCGCATGATATTGTATCATCGCGCTTTACGTTGAATTTTATTGAATTTCTCTGCGTCCTTCAATCGCTACATTCGAATCTTTCTCACGTAGAATTTATCCAACGTGGTAATTCTGAAGTGTGGCGCTCTCTATATTGTTAATATATTGAAAAATTTTAAATAAATAAATTTAATAAATTATTAATTATTATTTGTTTTGATCATAGAATATTAACGAAAAATTAAACAAAAAAAAATAATTATTGCTTTAATTTTGGGATTATTTAAGACTTTGATTGAAAATTATTTAAAGATTTTAATCTAAGCGAGGAGAAATTTTTATTTCGAGTATTGTTAATAAAAATTAGATTTTTTATTAAAGTAAACATGTTTACGCACATGCCTGAAAAAAATAAAAGATTTAATGGTGAGCTATTTCTTTACAGAGCTTAAGTAGTTTAAAAGATTTAATTTAGTGAAAAAAAAAAATTTAAGTGATTAAAATAAAAATTTTTCTATTCAATATAAGATTTAAGTAAATAATAGATAATGTTATCAATGTGATAGATGTGACTATCTATCATCTGTCCACAAAATTATTATTCCCAAAAAATACTGCGCAATTCAATTTCGTTCTGAAAATACTGGTACACACTGGAAATTTATGAGCATAAAAAACAAGATCATAATTGATTATTCCGTATTACAACGGATTATTTTATAAATCAAATATTGACAATTGATGTTGCTTTACATACTGCTAATTTGATGAGCCTGGCAAAAAAATAATAAAGTTAACTGTATAAATTAGCTATTATTGTCAAGAGATTTCTGAATCGTTTTGTTTTAGATTTCTTTTAGATTTCTTTCTCGATCTCGATCTCTTTTGTTCTTTTAATAAATGCCGACTGGTGGTTAGAAAGCGCGAATATTCACATTAACAGGCAGTCGTATATATATAAGTTAGATTCCCAAGTTAGTCGAGTGCATGGTATGCAACTTGTTACTACTTTAACCTTGATTAATGATACAATAAAAATTCCTCATTTCCTCAGCTGAAATTCGTTGATTCTTGAACTTATTACAGAAGCATCTCCACTTGGCTGTCTGGGTCATGTTTGGGCAAATAATTGTCAATATGGTATTTATTATTAAATTAAAAATTTTTTACTCGATATACCTTTAAAAGGTAATATTGATTAAAACTATTAAAAGTCAAACTTTAATATCGCCAAATCAGATTCAGAATCACGATCAGGATAATAAAAAGTCTAAGATTGATCATCTTATAGTGAAGAGAGTTTGAGAGCGAGGACCAAAAGTGACTGCTGAGGGATCTGGATCTGGATTAGTGGTTTATCGTCCAGTGAATCTTGAGTATACAGGTATAAGTATAGATGGATGGACATATGTGTACTTTTAGCAGGCTTAATAAAAGTTGGGGGTGATTGGAGGGAGAGCCCAAAAGGTAGTTGTTGTTGTTGTTGTTGTTGTCGTACTTGTAAGAATAAAAATAAAATGGACGGTGAGTGAGTAGGTGAGCGAGGGTGATGGGTGATGGGTGACCAGTATCCAGTATAGGGAACGCGAGTTGCATTTCAATGGGTTTCACCGCTACGCACCGTACGTAAAAGTGTTTCGTGGATTCCAACAGTAGGGGTAAAAACCCTCTGCCATGCCCGTACTAAAAGAACGACAAAGGACGCCGACCATACCACTCAAACATCTAAACTCCTCTATACTCCACATCATCCATTTATTTCATTGTATATATCATACACACATGTGTGTAATTCCTCACTTAACAATATCTATTCTTTTTCGTTAATAAATTTATTTATTTTTAAAACATTTTGCTATTAATACACTGAAAAAAAAATTGACTTGATTCGAGAGAAAAATTCTTGAACCAAGAAAATAATTTTAAAGAGGGTAATTGTTTTGAATCAAGACAAAAAATTCTTGAATTTTCCAAGTAAAGTTTCCTTAAATCAAGAAAAATTTATTAGTTCAAGAATTTTTCTACTAAAATCAAGAAGATTAAGTTCTTCAAAATTGTATACTTTATTCAAGAACATTTTTTTTTTTTGTATAATTTTTAAATTAAATATTTTTTATAAAAATAATAATTGAATATTTAATATATAATGGTTGTAGTAATTCCGAGCCATCAACCCCCATAGTGTCTTTAATTTAGGTGTTTTCACGAGTTATTCGGTTATTCCGGAGGTCTCTTCTCTGACGGGAGTGATGGTATACATGTACCCACTCACTCAAAACTACCTAAGTGTATGTTATGTAGATGTACACAGTTGTAGGGTATAAAAGTGGTGGATATACATTGAAACAGGGGTGAGGAGTTGTTACCATGGCGACAACTACCCTGACGCCCAATCGTATGGCTCGTTCTTGTCGTTGACGTGGCCCACGTTATAACGTTACGATGACGACAGCCGGGATCAGACTGGAAAAATTTATAAAAATATTTAAATATTCAATTTATTTAAGTAATAAATCAATTTTTATATTGTAAATATATTTATCAATGGCGTAGTAAGTTCTACCAATAAAAGTTGTTTTCTATTCTGACAGTTGTTTTAATAATTATTTGTCGAGCAAACATCTGAACTTAGATTTTAGTGTCTCTCAAAAATAACAAAGCTGATTAATTGATAAGATGAAGATATTGTAATAAAAAAAAAATGGTGTATAATTAGATTTGAGAGTTAATCCATCGAGCCATTCCGAAGAAATTTAAAAAAAAACCAAAAAAAAAAATTTTTTAAACAACTTTAAAGCGTGCGGAAAAATCATAATAAAATCACGTATGCATTACTTGTGCTTAAAAAACTGCGTCGAATGCATTTTTAAAAATGAAAATCGAACGACGCATTCAAAAGTTATACACAGAAAAAAAAATGTTCTTGAATCAAGTATATAATTTTGAAGAACTTAATCTTCTTGATTTGAATAGAAAAATTCTTGAACTAAATAAATTTTTCTTGATTTAAGGAAATTTTACTTCATTCAAGAATTTTTCTCTCGAATCAAGTTAATTTTTTTTCAGTGTAGTTGTCTGAAAATTCACAAAAATTTGTTTTTCGGTATTTTTTTAAGACATCTTCGAGATTTCTCAACCAATCAATACAAACCTGTACTTTTCTTTTTGTGCTTTAAAAACTGCGTCGAATACTTTTTTAAAAATGAAAATCGAACGATGCATTCAAAAGAGATAATAGTTGTGAAATTCAAACTTAGTGGAAAGTTCTGTAGGGTTGGCCTGTACGGTCAACCGATTTCCAGATTTTTTCAAAAAATTTGATGACTTTTCTTATAAGAAAATGTTAAAAATTCATGTTGGTATTTATTTTTAATGCTCACATACAGAATTAAAAAGAAATAACAATTAATAAATCAATACATAGTAAATAATTGATTAATACAGAGGCGATAAAATAAAAAAAAATCATGCATTACATAAATGTAGTATCTCATCTTGATCGTTTAAAAAATGTTTTCACATGATGACCAAGAAATGTCTAGAGGATTTCGAGAGCCAAGACATGAGACATGAGACATGCGTCCCGTTGCGCTAGTCACCAAAATCATGCACGACGGGAGTTGCGACTTATCTAACAGTCGTATCTCACACTCTTACATTATATTGTTCTTATATTCAACATTCAGGTTCATAACTATACATCTGTACCCATTATTATTTTTCAATTAACCCTACGATTTGACATACTCGCGAATTAAAACCTCGCTCATGTGTCTTTTATTATTTTATCAGGATGTATATGTGTTTGGTAACAGTAATAAATCTAGCTGTTGGGATGAAAGAGTATGTCTGAAGTCAAAACTCGTGTGGGGTCTAGCGCTAAGACACAGGTTTTAGATAGATAGAGTTGAGAGCTGAGTCTACAGAACTAGAAGACCACAGATTCTATATATAAAATATAAATAAGAGATAACATGTATTGATATATTATTGATGTATGTGTTATTTTTAAGATGAAAGGTAACTAAGATCGATGATCTTCATCATCAGAGCACTATCACCAGATCACGATGATGAACATCATTTTATTGCATTTATCTTCCCACGTTATTTATTATTATTGTTTTATGATTAATTTAAATGTACTTAATCTGAAAATTTTATTAGAAAAAAAAAAATAATATTTTAGATCGATGAATGTGAGAAAAAACAATATATGAAATAAAATGAAGTATAATAATAAAATGAGAGGGTTTAATCGGTTTAATCGGTTGTGTGTTGTCGGCGATTCTATTCTCGATGACGTAGTAAAGTTGCCGCGGTCAACAAAGAACGAAAAAATGTCTAGGAATGTTGGCGGACATATTTCAAGAGTGTCACCTACTGTAAGTATATATATGTCCCTCTTATATTTTATCTATATCGGGATCTATCAGAGGACTACCGATTCTCCTTTTCCTTTGAACCACTTTTTTATATTATTTTATCCTCAAATTTTTTTTTTTTTTTTTTTTTTTTCGACAGAACTAATAAATATTATTTTAATTATTTAAATAATTAAATTTTTAGCGCATGATACACCTGTCGTTGGTGTATCATTGAATTTTCCATGGTCTTTTGTATAAATAGATTGAACTGTTGAATGAATAGAATACCCCTCAGCTCATAGCCTG